TAATGTAAGGTAAATTCATGGTTAAATTGATTCGTGGATGTTTGTCCATTTAAAATACCCAGAATATCTCCATGCTTTCCACATTTTGAAAGACACACTGTATTCTCCATAGAAAACATCAACATTCCAAACTGCAAGTTTATGAAACATGAGTTGTGCCTTTCTGCATGTGTGTTGTGATTAATTGAGAGTGACTAATTGTTGTGATTATGTATGCCTATTTATGCTGCTCTGTTGAAGTGCTCAAGTGTATTTTAAGCAAGAGCAACATTCTGTCACTGCCATAGAACCCAGTGGAGATGTGGTTGTGGTTATTACATGAAGTCATTCACACAGACAGTAGCAGAGTCTGAATGTTTGTCAGAGGCAAGTACTGTGAACTTTCAGTAACATCTGCTTCTAAAGGGATCTCACAAAGCTGACAAAGGAAATTGGAATGTGTGAGGTGTCACCTAACTGAATAGGAGGGGAGGAGGGTAGAAATAAGGGTGGTGCAGTAATTTCAGAGTTTGTGTCCCTCATTTAACATCCTTGTACCTTAGCAATTTTACACCTGTGTGTTCTTCCTGATATTAAAAAAAACCCAAAGTATTTTGGAAGTTTGTTCTTCTGACTAACACTGACGATTACTTCCTGATGTTTTGTTATGGTTTTTTCCATGGGTAGTTAATTTTTAATATTTTATTTGTGGAAAAAAATAATTTCTTATGGGGGACAGTTCATTTGCGCTAGCCTGTGCATCAGAGGTAAGCAACTGACTTAACTTTTTATAAGGATGCAGTACACTTCTGATAAAGTGGGAGGTTATGAATTTAATAAATTGATTTTTAGCAAACATCTGTAGTCATTCCCTGCATGTCAAGTTCAGTATCTTAACTTTTTTCTCTCTCTCCTTAATTGAGATTTTCCTCTTCCCTCTTTTTTCCTATTGCTTTTTCACATCTTAGTCCCCTTGCACCCTTCTGCCCACATTCCCCGTAGTGTGTTTTGTATATTGTTTCAGAACTTCAACTGTAGTGTACAGCTGTTAGGAGGAAAAGCAGAATAAAGACTGGCAGAATAAATAGTATTGGTTATTGACAGCAACTGCAAGAGTACTTGAAAAAAAAAAAAGTAGTTAAAACAAACTCTTACAGAGATTCTAATCTTGCAGGACCCTAGAATGATGCTTGTAGTTGATCTTAGTATGGGAAACAGTGGAGTGAGGGGTACATTTCAGCCTCTGGTTTTAAAATATGCAGGACCACCACACTCTGAAAAAGATGATGAAGCTTTTGCAAAACAGATCTGTCAGATCTCCTCCTTGAGGGGTAGAAGCAGGAGAATCCCCTGTCCATCTCTCCCTTCTCTCTCGGAATTCTGTTCTGAATACCCCTGAGGCTGTGTAGGACAGTTCACAAAACCCAAAACCAGTAGGAGAGTTACCAGGTCAAAAGGAGGTTGGTGTGTTTGAAGTGGCTCTTTTGGGGGGCGAAGAAAAAGAAGAAAAAGAAATAAATAAAAAAAGGACAAATCCTTGCTGTTCTTGCATTGATTTCCAGGCTTTGGGATGTCTACGTGACTGTGTTAATCACCACTAATCTGCTTGTGTTCTGGGCCAGATTTGTATGTAATACTCAAGACAAAGTTGCTGAGCACTGTAGGAAGATGGATGACTTGAGAATTGATTTCACAGTGGTGATGGTACCCTCTCCAGTGCTCAGTCAGCATGTGTCATACCTCGTCCTGTAAGTAACAAAGGTTGTGACAGGTACCAGAAAGAGAATTCAGCTGCCAGGTGAGCTGGTGCAGATGGGCTCGTGGGCACGCTGCTCAGGGTTAGCAGTGTCTGGCATCTGGAGTAAATTGTTGGAAAGCTCCAAAATACTTGGAGTGGACTCCCTCCGAGGCATGTGTGGTGGTTCTGAGACATTACTCTTTTGTACATGTATTTTTAATTCAAAACTGCGTTGTACCTGCCAGAGTGGTGGTGGTACAGACCGTGATGTTGAGGCTGAGCGCTGCTTGTCCCAGGGTTGTAGTAAAAGGGGTACTGAGAGTTTGCAGAAATGTGGTTTGTTGGGGTAGCTGTTAGTAGTGAGAGCAGTGGTCTTCTAGAGATATGTGGGACCTCTGCCAGCTAATTCTGTAGTAAGAATTCATTGAACAGCTCTGATGATGCAGAAGGAGAAAAAAGTTTCTAGTTTGCTCTTCTGTTGTCAGTGTTGGCTGTACAGGAGAGAGTAGTGATGGAGGTATGGTGTTACCACTCTCTGTAAGTAAATACTCCAAGGAGGTCAGCTGAGTGATAAGATTCTTATAACTGAGGCCTGAGATTTGTTTGCATTTGGTTCTATATTTGTTCTTTGGATAGTGCAGAAGCTGGTTATTGTTTTATTCCTCTTAGTGTTATAAAATGAATTGCTCAACTGTTGAAGAATGGCTCAGGGATAAGGGTCACAGTTTGACTGAGCAATTGTACGACCAGAGCCTGTTTTAGTAGGCCCTAGTTGACATAAGTTGAGTGGAATTTTCCTCTACATGCAGTTTAGCTGCTACATGCAGTTTAGCAAGAACAGGCTGGCCTTGCAGGATAAGAAGTGAAACAACTTTGAAGGAGTAGCGCTTGGCAAGTAGGATGCGCTGATATAGTTTTTACTGACTCTGTGAGAACCGCAAGTAAGAGAACAATGCAAGTCTGTAAACGCAACCTTTAGTATTGTAACCAATCATTTAATGCCTAGAAGTATGATGTAACTAATCACCAATCACCTAATGCCTAATAGGCACAACTAACTGTATAAATGAGTGTTATCCGGGCTAATAAATCGATTCATGATCTATCACTCATATTGAGTCGGCTTCATGAGTCCTCCGCCGCTCGCACTCAACAAATAGTTGAGCTTACTGTATCTGAAATGTTACTGAATGCCCCTCAAAGTCGCTTTCCAGCTGTTTGTTACAAGTTGACAGTAGAAAGTAGTGTGTGCAGTCAGCATGCAGCTTAGATTTGATCTCCCTCCTGAATTTATTTATTTATTTATTTATTTAGATGTATATAGCTGTCCTGAACTGTGTAGATTTCTTTATTTTGTAGGTCAGTTGGATGTTAGGTCTTGCTGTGTTGCTGGTATTTTCTTTCCTGTTCTGACAACAGAGCTAATGGGTATCAACAGAGGAAGAACTCGTTCTGTTCATTCTCAGGTTTCCTTTGGAGAGTAGTGGAGACCCATGCTGTCAGTACCTTACAGGCTATTCTGATGATTTCCCATGTGGAAAATCAGGGGAAAGAATGCAAATGCGAGCACTAAGCTAATTTTTCTGTGTCTTTTAAAACAATAAGGCAAGAGACTCAGGTGGTCTCCAGTGTCATTTATCTAAGAACAGAAAGAATTCATTGGAAAATGTGGTCTCACGGGCCAGAAGACAAGGAGGGGAAGACTAAGAAGAATTCAGGCTTCCCTTCTTTGTTTCAGTGATTCTGTCCTTGTGTTCTTGAAAACCAAAGGGGAAAACAAACCCTTTAGTGGTAAGATCACTGCAAATTCTTCTCTAGTTTCCTTGGAGCAGCACTGTGTGGTGCAGGTGGGTGGAGAGAGCAGGTTAGCCACTCCATGTAGTGCCTGCCGGGGGGGACAGCAGCTCCTCATTCCCTGTGAACCCCAAGAAGCTCGGGCAGTACTTTGAGTAGTTCATCTTGTCAGTCCTAGGTCTGGCTCCCAAATACATCCCCATGAATCAGCAAACTTTTGCAGAAGACACCTGGGTTGAACTAGTGGGAATGTAGAGTTATTTTATTCCTTCTGCTTGCAATATCTCCCCAGGGTCTCATATGTATTTTGAAAGCTGGTATAAAATAACCTTCCACGTTTTTGTGTTTTCTTCTCTTTGATCCAGCCTGTTTTGTGTGCATTGTCTTTAACCACTGCCTTTGCTTCACTTAGTTCTTCCCACAGGTGGCAATTTTCTGGTATGTTTTCCATATCAAAGCTCTCTTTTATTATTAAAATTTACTTTTTCTCTGCTATGAGGTGATAATAACAGACAAAAGTATTAGCATGGTAACTTTATAGTATGGTGGCAGTGAAAGGCTGTATGAAAATGGAGCTCTTGAAAGAGGGCAGGAAACAGAACAAAGGATTGGATTCTCACAGACCTAATACTGAGAGACGCAGCTTTTCCCTTGAGAAGCAGGAAGGTTTGCATCCTGCAGTGGCATGTGAGAGGGGAATACTGGGCAAAGACCCACAAGGTGGTACTGGCGGGCAGCAGGAATGATTTCGGATGCCAGTCAAGTATTGTGGGGTTCACACTGTGTTGTGCAGAGCAACGTAGCATTAATAATATTCTCTTTCAGAAGAAAACAGTTTAATTCTGCAGAAATTCATGTGGTTTTCATTTTGGTGGGGGGAAGGGACTTTACTCATAGCCAGTGGAATCCCTTGCCTTGGAGCTGCTGTTAATTTCGGTAGGACCAGAAGTAGTAAAGCCTGTGTATTGCCAGGCACTGTACACGGATATAAATGGGGCAGTGGTTGCACTTTCTGACCTAAAAGAAGAGAGGGGGGGAGGGGAAAAAAGGACTAGAACTGGAGAACAAAGCAGGAAAGTGATCTGCCTAAAATCATGCAGCAGGTTTGTGGCTGAGCTGGAACCCAAGCTCAGTGTCTTAGTTTCTGACCAGTAGTTAGCACTTGCTTTTTCTGCCATGTTTACTCATAAGTTCTTTGCACGATGTCTGCGAAGGTGCAGCAGTGGAGGATGGTAGAAACTAACTCTCTCCTTCCCTTTTTTTTGTTTTTTGTCCAGGTTAGGTCCTGTTGTCTGACACTTGAAGAGCAAACAGCACCATGGCTCTGTGACTTGTGAAACCAGAGGAAGTGCAGCAGCCCTCCCTACCTCCAGTGTCCTTTCTGTACTGTGACGTTCTTCTGGGGACCTTTAGTTTCATCCCCACAGTGTGTGCAGTGCCTGGCCTTGGCATCAGAGCAGAGGAAGCAGTTTGTGGACCAGGGATAGCCATGGCCTTGAGCTTGTATGTCTTCCATGTCTTCTATAAGTTCAAAGTGTTGGTGATTGTCACTTTGTGTTTGATGGTGCTATGGGCCATGTTTGGTTACTTTGTGGACTCCAGACAGGAAATGTCTAAAGCTAAGAGCATGGTGGAGGATTTCAGAAAGGTAACTAACCAGGAGGACAGTCAAAAGGAAGAGAAGATTGAATCAGTTGTGAAAGTTGCCACGGTGAAGTCATTTCAGGGTCACTGCCCAGCTTTGTCTCCCTACCTGCGTAAGTGATGGTGCTTTTCTCTCCTTTCTAACAAGTTACCTCTGCTTTGGAATTGCTGACTGGGTTTTCTTCCTAGCCCTTTTACAGTTAGACACTTCTCCTGTGAAACAAATGCCAGGTAACCAGTTGCATAAGCACTTCTGGGTGAGAAGAGTGCCTGTGTTGGGTCTGGCTGGGATAGCAGCCTGTATGGTGCTGTGCTTTGCATCTGTGGCTAAACCAGCTTTGGTGACGCACCAGTGACTGCTCTACTGCCGAGAGGCATGCTGCTGAGGCTGGCTGTCTCTCTTTCCTGGTCCCCTAAAATCTGGTAGGCTGGGGGTGGGCAAGAGGTTGGGTGTGGATACAGGCAGGACAGCTGACCCCAGCTGGCTGAAGGGATATTCCATACCGTATGACCATACCATTTATCATGCTCAGCAATAAAGCTCAGGGAGAGGAGGAAAAGGGGGTTCATGGTTACAGTGTTTGCTTTCCCAGCAACTGCAGTATGTGCTGAAGCCCTGCTTCCCAGGACAGGTCTGGACATCTGCCTCCCAATGGGAAGTAATGAATGAGTTTCTCTTTTTGCCTTGCTCATGCATGCAGCTTTTGCTTTTTTATTAAACTATTTTTATTTCAACCACAAGTCTTTTCACCTTTCCTCAATATTTTGCCTTTTCATTATTAGATGTACTTTTGTCTCTCTATCTTGACAGCTGAAGGACTTCACAGCTGCATTGGGGTCAGCACTGTTTATGTTGAAGGTTCAAATAAGTGACTGGTTCCTTGGTTTTTATTAGTCCTCTTTTTTTTTTTCTTTTTGTCTTGGTATTGCTAGGAGTGCCACGTTTCTGCTTTGCTGTGTCATTTCTTCTTCCTTTTTGTGAACCTGGTTAGGGATTTATTTGGGAAGCTGGATTCTTCCCTCCTCCCTGATGTAGTCCAAAAAGCTGCTGTCTAGCTGCACACCCCCACCCCTGCCCCCAAGACATATTTGCTTAAGTAAACACAGTGCTTTGTTGCATCACAGTTGCCTGCATTGTTCTCTTTCATGGGTTTGCCCAGTCTGGAGGGGCTGGAAGAATAGCTCAGTGCAAGAGAAGTGGTGAAAGTTTCATTGGCTACAGAAAGCCTTGGTACATTTTATCTTACAAATTTGTAGCCTTAAGCCTGTGATGCTTTTATTCATGCTCTAAGTAGAGATGACTTCTCACAGCTAGTCTTATGTGTCTTTCCACTTCCCCCTCCTCTGCTTTGCCCTGGCAGCTCTGGCCAATCCTCCTGCAGTAGGGTGGAACTTTAGATTTTTTTCTTTAATATATATTTATCATCATCAGTACTCTCTAGTCAGTTTAAGCAACTAAACACTTGATACCCTCTCCTTCCATTGCCTGCATAACATCCTCATAGCTCTATGTCTTGGTTTAGTCAGTTTTTCTATTGCCCAATGACCCCTCCCTGCCTGAGAAGGGGAATTGGGAAAAGGAAAGGAGACCTGTGGGTTGAAGTGAAAACAGATTTAATTAAATAATAAGAAGAACTAATATTAATACTAATATAAAATAAACAAAATTATACTCGGCCAACAGAAGCATGACAGTCAGAGTAAGCAGGAGAGTAGGCCTTGGGAGCAGAATGATGGCTGAGACCCTCCAGGGATGATGAACATTGAGGAAGAGGGGTCATCCCTAGCAAACTTTCCAGTTTATAGAGACTGTGATGTTTATGGTATGGAGTACTTCTGTTGGCCAGCTTGGGTCAGCTGCCCTTCCTTTCACTTCTCCCAGCCCTAGCACCTGGCTAACTCTAAACTGGTAAAGACCTTGATCACTCTAGAAACCTGCATACCATGGGTGGCCACACACTGGAAGTGTCTTATCAGCTCTGTTCTCACCAAATTGGGTGCTGCAGTCTTCTTAAAATGCAGCTTTTCTGACTGAGAATTAATTCTAAGATTCTATCTCAGCGAAACCAGGGCACAGTACTTTTTTATCTTGGAAAGGCAGGGAAACCAACTGGGGCTTGAACCTGAGTTTCTTATGCTGGTGTCAGAGTGCCTCATTAGGTGACTGGACTAGCCACAGCCAGAAACAACTCAGGTGAGCTCCTTGTGCTTCTCCTGCAGGAGGTGCCAGCAAACTCACCTTCAAAGCATCTCTCACGCTAGAAGAAGTGCAAAAAGAGAACCCTCAGGTAGCCAAGGGCCGATATCACCCTACGGAGTGCTTGGCATTGCAGCGTGTGGCCATCCTCATTCCACATCGCAATCGAGAGAAGCACCTACTGTACCTCCTGGAGCACCTCCACCCCTTCCTACAAAGGCAGCAGCTGGACTATGGCATCTATGTTATTCACCAGGTGAGGCAGCTGTGCAGAGATGGGGATGATGTCAGTGCTCTGCAGTGAGAGGAGAGGCATGCTGCTGCCTCTGCTAACATCACTCCTCCAAGCCTGCTTCGAACGCTTCTGCTTGCTGGGGGATGCAACCATGTGTGCAGCCATTGCTGGTAGCACTGCAGGATCTCAGCTGCTGTTAGCAAAGCTGGGAAGTATTAACAAACAGTGTCTTTAACTGGTGTCCATTTCTCTGTCCAAGTAACTCAGTATTTCTGAGTTAGCATTCAAGGTGAGCATCTTCTACATTACTAATGCAACTCACTTCTCTTGCAGGATACATGTATGTAACTAGGCTGACATGTTTTCTGTCTTTAAATTTGGAGTTGTTTGGATTGAAGGCCTCAGTTTGTATCTCGCTTTGCTTTCCCATCTGCTTACTGGCTGCCACGCTTAGTAAGCTGTGTTTACCATGTGCTTGTAGTTACTTCTGCTGTCCCAAACTACACATGCCAGCTACTGCTTGTAGGTGCTTTACTTGCCCAGCGAGGGCTGTGGGAAGAAATAGTTATGGCAGGGCATTTGATTCCTGAAAGATTTAGTAGTTATTTTATTTGCATTCTTTCTAGCTCTGCTGAGTATGTGGCTAAAACTTGAGCATACAAACTTGTGCCACGTCCTTTCATCCAAGATGCTTATGTTCTGGTCACATGAGCTAAAAGCAGTATAGATTTCTTGTTTTGTATTATGTTGTCTTTTTCTTGATCTTTTGTTGTGCTTGCTTTCTTTTGCTGTCGTTTACTTCCATGTTCTGCTTTGACTCTAAACTGACTTCTTGATCTTTTGTTGTGCTTGCTTTCTTTTACTATCTGCTTTGACTCTAAACAGATTTTTCAGACAGCAGGAGAAAAGGTGATAAAGTACTATAGTTTCTCTTCCCTTCTGTTTAAAGAGGCTAGAGTCAATTAACCAGTCTGAAGCAAAGCATTCTAGGTGAAAGCTTCCACTTGTGCTCAATGGCACGACGAAACAGCCACAGAAGTCGTGGCAGGGTATATACACTTTCAGCTGGAATAGACTGTTCTTTCATTGTTTAGAGTCATTATGTGGCCCACAGAGTGGAAAAAAGGAGGCTTTTTTCCTGCATTAGTATGTACTGTAATCATACACATAATGGCTTACTCCATCTAGCAAGCAGTGGTTAGCAATAAATCACTGGGAGAACGGGCATACGTTCTGTACTTACTGAAGTATGTGAGGTGGAGAATGACTGTTGTCATATTAGCAAAAAGTAATACAGAAGTATGAAAGCTTTGTCTGATGTAAGCAGCAATGTCTAGTCTGGACTTGTTCTATCAGAGCCTTTACTTGGGAGATTGGAAACATTTGCTTCGCCTTTCCATGCAGATAAACATACTTGAAGAGTGGAAAGTGGGTCTAACAAAACTCTCATTTATGGCAAATCCATTTTCACTCTCCATTTGTCAGGCTATTAGGATGCAGATAAACATACTTGAAGAGTGGAAAGTATGTTTACATACTTTACAACAAAACTCTCATTTATGGCAAATCCCTTTTCACTCTCCATTTGTCAGGCTATTAGTTGTTTTAACTCTGTCTTTCCCCAAAAGATACTTAAAACCAGGATTTAACTATTAAAATACACAGAGCTTACTTTGGAGGAAGATTAAGATTCAAGATTAAGTTTTCATTTTTCTCTATGAGCCGTTGAAGGGCATACTGCAGATCTCTTCTTTATGGGCTGTTGGTAACACTTTGAAAATAGTGTTTCTCTGCACAAATGTGTGCATATGTGAGTGCAGTACTGAAAGAAAAAAAAAAAGGTGAGTTTGTAATCCTTAAAGGGTGAATAATTTCTTTCCCAACATAAGTTTGTCTTGTGGTCAGTGTTCTTTTTCCATAGCAAGGAAGGAGGACAGTTGTCTTCTCAATAAAAGATGAGAGTAAACTTTGCTATTTGTTCAGCATGTGGTCCAACACTGAACAGTGCCCCTCCTGGAGAGCAGTTTTAGCTGCCTGCTTGGCTGCCTTTGAGCAGGAAGTGGGCTGTGGTGGCTGATACCCAGTACATGTGACGTTCTCCATATGTTCTGTATCAATCATCTGCATTGTTCTGTTCACTTAATAGCCTATGTTTTCATCATCAGAAGAAGGTTATCTGATGGAGATTTTCATATACAGGTCACTTTAAAACAAACAGACAAACCACCAACCTCAGGAGTTTGACATCATAGATTTTGGGTAAATTGTATGTAATTTTTTATTGGAAAGTTACTTCCTTAACTGAGAAAGGAAGCAATTGATTATCCCTCTCTTAATTTTTCAGAGTGGACACTGGGCTGTTTTTCCTTAATTGCAGGCATGGAGCCATAAATCCCATAAATCTTCTTTGTGCAGGAGCAGATAGCTGTTGGTGATGGTGAACAAGTTGCCACTTCAGAGCAAAGCATTACGTTTTAGAACGATAAAACGTGCTTTATGTGCAACTGCTTTCCCTCCAGCTAACCTTCTTTCCGTCTGGGGAGGCCACCTGCTTTTAAATCTTCTGTGGAGCCTCCTTCTGTCCAGGCAGCTTCTAGCAAATGACCTCTTTGTCTTGAAAAAAAATTGGTTTTATTCTTTCAATTCTGAAAAATGACTGTCCTGTGCATTTCTGAGAGCACAGGGCTTGGCCTTCCAACTCCCAGGTGGGAACTTGAGGCAGCTCACTGCCTTGTTCTCAGGAGCTGAAAGCCTTCTACAGGCTGGTGTGTGTGTCCAGCCCAGTAAAAAAAAAATGGCAAGACAGACACACACCTGTTGCTCCAGAGTGAACGGTGTCATGGTGAGCTTATAAAACTGCCAGGTGTGTGTGCATATATGTACACCTCAAAAGTGAAAAATGATGCTTTCGAAAAGCAAAGATGCACGAACTTATAGCAAAAGCAAACAGGGAAGACGAGTAAAAGTCAAGTAAAGCTCTGTGCTAGGGCGAGTCCCTGTGCAGCATGATAATTAGGTTATAGATAGGAGTTAAAAATGAGGAGACCCGCTTTTTATTCCCACTGTGCCACCTACCGTGTGACCTAAGGAAATGCAGTGAATCTCTAAGCATAAAGAGTTCCCTAAACTGAGTGGACAAGCATAAATCATCTCTGGCAGGTGCTCTGACATCTATAAACCAATTAGTAGAGGAGTAATGTGGGGTTTTTTGGGAGTTTTTTTTTTTGTTGTGTGGTGTGGGTTGGTTTTTGTTGTGGTTTTTTGTTGTTGTTGTTCGTTTTTTGTAAAAACAAACAAACTTCTAGAAGCCTTACTGGCACAGTTGCATGGAGGTCCAGTTTCTAAACTGTTTACTAATACTTCTTGTGTTATGTAGCCTGATGGGAACTCCAGGACAGGAGCAGCACTAGTAGCAAAATTGCAGCGTGTGTACTTTTGGTGCCCAGGTCCCTGTAGGCTCTCCTGGCCCTGGCTGTGTTTGTTCATGGCAAGTAGAGACTGAAGAGATGCCTTGTGTCATTGGCCACTCTGCTGCTGTATCTCGTGGGGTAGCTCTTTGTGTAGTTACTGCTGTAAAGGCTGTGGCACACGAATGCGGTTGCGAACTGTGCGATTACAGCAAATGCCTGGGAACAGTTCTGGTTCAAAAGGTTTGACACCTTCTTCAGAGGTTTTTTTCCCATTCTCTTCCACAGGCTGGCAGCACCAAATTTAATCGAGCTAAACTGCTGAATGTAGGATACCTAGAGGCCCTAAAAGAAGCCAACTGGGACTGTTTCATTTTCCATGATGTGGATCTGGTGCCAGAAAATGACTTTAACATTTACATGTGTGACAGACAACCAAAGCACCTTGTAGTTGGCAGGAACAATACTGGATACAGGTAGGAAACCAGGAATGTGGAAAGAGTACCAAGTGGGAAATGCCACGCTACTGCTAATGTTCTTCTTCTGATGGAGCTATATGCTGGTATCTACCCTTTTTCCTGACACCAGGTTTCTGGTGGTAACACTTCACCTCTCTAGTGTGCCTCTGACAAAAGGTAACTGTATGGATATCTCTGAAGTCAGCCCCATGGTCACCTGCACAAATGATCATTGTCATCGTTCTGGTTTCTGGAGTGAAGTAAAGGGTGTTCTGAGGGGAAAGCAGCATGCCAGAGGTTGTGCAGAGACCTTCTGTCAGAGATGGAAATACATTTGCAGTCTCCTGGTCCTGTGATCTGATGGTGTGATCTTACTATTGTGCTAATGAAACAATAAAACTTGGCAGTTACCTTTTGCTGTTGAAGAGGTAACATCTGATAGTGAGATCTTAAGTGTGAGAATTTGCCAAGGGATAGCATTGTCCTTTAATTATGTGGCTGGACAGTGTCTAATACAGGATCATTCTGATTTTTAAATGGGTCCCCTACGTGCCACTGAGATATAAATAATTTAAAGTGAAAAGTCGGGCTCAGTCCACTTCAGAGAAGAAAGGCTCCTGAGCCTGGTGAATTTAATGACTAGAGTGTTTTAATTGAACTTGTTTCTTTCAAGATTCACCTTTAGGTCATGTCACTCTAAATATTAATTAGAAGTGGGCTTTTCAAAAGCTGATCTCTAAGTACTTTGAAGTAAAGCTCTGCTTCACTTACAGGTTTCCTTTGTTAAATATACGAGAAAGAGGTGGGATGTGCAAATTCTGATGCAGGATAATACTCACTTTCCAGTTATTCAGTGGAAATGGGAACAAGCACAAATGAACTAGGCTCGTGCCGAGTTTTTGGAGCACTGTGCCTTGCAGAGAGAATGCTGAAGGCTACAGGATGGTCCTGCACCAAAGCAGCAGAACCATTGCTTTGGTTAATTGATAGGCATGTGGAATCCAAGCTAATAACAGGGCATCAAGCTTCAGGTGCTTCACTCCCGTGCCTTAGTTACTGAAAGTGTCTAACTTAGCTAAGCATGCAGGTGGATATTTTCTTTTCTTTACTAAGGAGTCTTCTTACTATTAATTTCCTCAAGTTTTTCCTGTTTGTGGAAAGGAGCTGTTAGTTATGGGTCAGCTTTAAGCTTTGGCTTTAAAGAGTCTTACACTGACAAAATGTTTTTGTTGTGAATACCCTGCACCAGTATTCTCTAGGATACTGGTGCTTTGAGTTAGATTCATAGTTTCTTTGCTGTATCACTGCCTCTGTTTACCCATCTGTGAAATGGAGATGGAAATGCTCTACTTCCAAGGGAATTCATGGGTATATTTGAAGGAATTCAAGCGTGGGGTTCCTCTCACAGGGGACAGT